AGGCGCAGCTTCCACACCTGCCGCCTGTGCTGTTGCCGCCGCATCCGCCGGCGGCGGCGGCCACTTCTGCTGGCACGGGTGCAGCCCACGGTGCAGCCACAGGTGGCGGTGTTGCTGCTAACCCCTCGGGGGCTGCAGCAATGCCGGCGCCGAAAAAAAATCCTGGCCAGGTGGACCTAAGCAGCGAGGATGACGACGAGGAGTCTGAGGAGGAGGAGGCGGCTAAGAAGGACGAGGACAAGGAGCCGGACTCCCAGTCGCGGAAGGATGATATCGTGGTGGTGGACCACGACCAGGAGAAGAAGAAAGAAGAAAAGGGTGGCAAAAAGGAGGAGGCTGCTCAGAAGCGCAAGAAGAAGAAGGAGAGCAGCTCTTCCAGCGGAGGCAACAGTGAGTCCTCCAGCAAGAAAGAAAAGCCCCGTGCAGCCCCCGCTGCCAAGGAGGCCAAGCAGGCACACGAGGCCCAGGCCGACGAGAACGAGAGCGGCAAGGCCAAGGAGCCCAAGGAAGACAAGGAGGCGGAGGCGGCGGAGGGCGAGCCTGCAGCGCGGCCTGCGAGGAAGAACCGCAGCCGGCACTCAGCGGACGAGGCAGATGTCGTTCGCTGCGAGCACTGCTGGATGTGTGTGAAGAAAGAAGGCCTGCAAAGCCACCTGGAAAACAGCGAATACTGCCGCCAGTGGCGGCTCCACGCCGCCGGCCAAAATTTGGCCGGCCAAAAGCCTGCGGAAGAGCAGGCGAGCTCGGGTGCGTGCCAGTGCAGATACTGCTCACGGCAGTTCATGCGCAGGTGGGACATGCTGCAGCACTGCCTGGGCACGCGCCCGAGCTCCGACGAGGCTAAGGAATGCCTTCAGGCCATGCACAATAAGCGGAAGAAGCAGCCATCAAAGGAGGACCGGGCGGCTAGCATGAGCCAGCACAGGCCGCCGGTTCAGCTGCGGAGCAGGGGGCGTGTGGAGGAGCCGCCGCGCAGACGTGGCCCGCGGCGTGAAGAGAGCCGAGATGATGATGGCAGCCGTGGGCGCCGGAGAAGCCGTGGTGAGAGCCGCCAGAGCCGTGGCCAGGCAAGCTCTCGAGGCGGCGGCCAGGCAAGCTCTCGGGGGAGCCGCAAAGGCGGCGGCCAGGCAAGCTCTCGAGGGAGCCGCAAGAGCTCCCGCGGCAGCGAGCACATGGACCGACGCTTCTCGGGCCGCTCCCCAGCCGTCGTCGTGGGCGCGATTCGCGGAAGGAGCCGACAGGGCAGCTAGGCCGCAGCAAATCATCGCCAAGGGATCGGGCCATGGTGGCGGGTCAGAGCCAGAGCCCTCAGATCCCCCAGATGATGCTGGCCTTTTTCGATGCCACCAAAAAGATGCTGGACATGCAGCAGCAGCAGTCCTAACATCGAAGATTTTTGGGCGAGAGGAAGAATCCTGGGCCTGGTGTCCTAAGATCCGTGCGATCCTGGACCCAGAGCCCTAAGATTCGGCTCTCGCAGAGGAGGCTAGGCCGCGGTAGCTAGGCCGTAGAGCCAGGCCGTAGGGTAGGAGCCCGACTGGCCTTCACCCGCCCTTAGCTCACGAAAGCCTTCAGGCCCCAAGCAAAGCCACAGCTACTACAGTTAAGCTTTTAGCCGGAAACCGGAAACCTGAACCCTTAGGCACCAAGCAAAATACAGCTACTACAGCTTTTAAGCTTTTAGCCGGAAACCTGAACCCTTAGGCACCAAGCAAAACTGAAGCTGAAAAGGCCAAGTCGGAAGTAGCTCCAGTGTTCCACTCACCAAGCACTGCCGAGCACAGTCGTGCCAAAAAAGATTCGTTTCAGTTTTGTTTTTGCCGGGCATGTTGAACTCATAAAGGGTTTTAAGGCCACAAGAGGACAGAACACAGAAAACACAGTGAATTCTCAAGGGGGCGGCCCTGGGGGTCTTCGGGGGGGCTTTGGGGGCACTGGGAGGGCTCTGGAGGGCGTTTGCAGGGGATTTAGCACCTGTTTGGGGGTCTCGTGTTCGGGGTGTCCGGGGTCGTGTCGGGGTCGTGTCCGGGATGTCCGGGGTCGTGTCCGGGATGTCCGGGATGGGGTTGTGTCCGGGATGTCCGGGGCGGGGCCCGGGAAAGGTGTCCGGGGCGGGGCCCGAGGGTGTCTGGGGCCGTTTTGGGTGTCCCGCCCATGTCCCGCCCATGTCCCGCCATGTCCCGCCCATGTCCCGCCATGTCCCGCCCGTGTCCCGCCATGTCCCGCCCGTGTCCCGCCATGTCCCGCCGTGTCCCGCCATGTCCCGCCCGTGTCCCGCCATGTCCCGCCCATGTCCCGCCCATGTCCCGCCCGTGTCCCGCCATGTCCCGCCCGTGTCCCGCCCGTGTCCCGCCCGTGTCCCGCCCATGTCCCAAGTGCCACGAGTGCTCAGACTTGTAGCTTTCTGCAGCTCCCGCGCATGGTTTTCAGAACTGGGCTTTTGCAGCTCACATTTTTACTGTGAACTGCTTATAGAAGCTTTGCTGTTTTGTGGTGCAAACGAAACTCGAGTGTTTTGCACACGGACAAGCTTTTGCATTCTGGAGTACCGTGGAAGAAGCATCTGGACTATTGCTGGCTCCGATACTTTGCCTACAGACTACTTTGTTTTGGGGCGTATCGGTACACTGCATTACAAGAAGCTGACAGAGGCGCGGAGCATCAGAATCGAACTCGTTCCGGTCCCAAGTCCGGACTGTGCAATGGTCTGGAGGTTGGTCCTTTGGGTTTTCACTCTAATCAGTTGCACAGGGCACGAGGGTGGCATCTGTGCCATGACAGATGCCGTAGCAACACCAGCTTCACAACGGATAGCTGGCATACCGGTTGCGAAGCACAATGGCGTATGGGCCACAGGGGACTTCGGTCTGATATCCTCTAGGAACAAGCAGATCATTGTCAAAAGAACTTTCAAAAGAGCCTGCAGGCGAGCTTTTCGCCTCGGCTCCACCATGTACAGGGGACGACCATTTACATTGCATGACATTCCCGAGGACATGCGACAGTGCCTGCATGCTGACTTGCAGTCCTCCACCCGTACCACGCAGCACTCTATATCTCCTGAACATATCAGACGTACTAAGCCGACGAAGCCGCGACTTAGTTATATGGTATGGAATGCTGGTGGTCTTCCTTATGATGAATTCATGATATGGACAACACAAGCCACGTATGACGTTTTGATAGTAGTGGAGACACGCATGAGTTTCACTTCGGAGTGGAAGCTTCCAGGATGGCATTGTGTGCACAGCGGCCATCGGAACTCTGGCATCTTGATCATGATCGCAGACAGGGTGTGCAACATGGACGGGGTCACCTGGAGAGAAGTACTACCGGGTCGACTTGTTCACCTTCGGCTGCATGGAAAGTCCAATATTTTTAATCTTATTGGGGCGTATCAGTATGTATGGAAGCCGCAGTCATCGAGTAGCATGGCGAATCGCAACAAATTTTGGAAACAAATGCAGAACACTCTACAGCAGTGTCCAAGTAGGGACATAACTCTCGTGCTGGGTGATTTTAACACTGATTTGGAACCTCGAAAGGGGCGTGTTGGCCCCATCAACTTGAATCAGTTGGCTCCGAACTTCACTCGATTTGAAGATCGAGAACAGCTTGGGCAGATCTTGGATTCGTTTAACCTGGTGATCCTTAATTCTTGGAATGGTTGGCATGCCACTTACAAGTTTGAGGGTGCCAATGAAGCTCAAAGCAGAATTGACTTTGCCATCACTCGCAGACCTCAGGCAGACATGCTGGCTCGTCACACTCAACTCCTCGATGATTTTCCGGTTGCTAGACATCGCACAGGATCAAGACATGTACCTGTAACGGGCACCATTCCTGTGGTCTGGACTCCTTGGAAGCCGAATCAGCCACCTGGAAACAAATTCACGGTCCAGCAGCGCAGGGATATTCATGAAGCATGCAAACTTCAGACAACACAGTGGTGTGCGTTCAGCAGCGCCGTGACCGTCGCCGTGCATGGGCTCTCGGATGGCACGTTTGAGCAGGTGGAGGCCATTCTGACTTCTAAAACACATCAATTCTTTCCGGCCGAGTCGCAGGTAGTGCGAAACAAGCCTTTTCAAGACCATGCCTTGGCAGGACAAACACGTCAGATGTGGAGCCTGCATGCCCAAATGAAGCGGTGTAATGGTCAGGACCTGCGATCTCTACTTCAAGCGTGGCGACTTCGTGCCCGTTTTCAGGCCATCAGCACTGCCCTGAGAAAGCGTTCCAAGGTGATTAGGCGTGAAAAACTGGAGACTTTTCTTCAGGAAGCATCCGAATGTGCACTCAAATACGATGCCGCGGGATGGTATAAACGTATCAACTCCCTTTGTCCTAGGCAGGAAGCTCGGCGGGTGCACATACATGATGCGAAGGGTCGGCCTCTCGGGCCAACAGGTTCACTAGAGTGCTTGCGCGAGTACTTTGGCGAGCTGTTCGGTGATTCAGACTTCAACTTGCAGTCCATGGAGCCCATGAGTGAACTCCCCTTCAGTCTAGATGATGTTCGTCAAGAGCTTCAAGCATTGCCAGCGCTAAAGGCGCTGATACCTTCTACGGCGCCGGCGACGGTGTGGAGGCAGCATGCTGGCTTGATTGCACCCTACCTCTATGCCAAATTGCAACAACATTGGTGTGGAGAGCATTGCAGCATGCCTTCCGATTGGCTGAATGGTCTTCTTGCCTTATTAAACAAGCCAGGAAAATCGCCGAATCGACCAGAACATCTTAGGGCTATATGCCTTCAGCATCCCGCCAGCAAAGTTGTGGCAGGTGTGGTGACAAAATTGGCAGCCGACCATGTGGCCCGGCTCTTTGAGTCTCTGCCCTGTTTTGCGTACCTTCCCTGCAGATCGACCGGACATTGCTTGCTCAGAGTATTTGAACATTGCCGAGCCGTTAGGTCATTGGTTACCAGCACCAGACAACACAATCGCACACATAGAGCCAAACATATGTTGACAGGCGGAGTACAAATTGCTCTGGACATGCAGAAGGCGTTCGATGTCGTGAACAGGCCGTTTGTGCTAGAGTGCATTGATGCAATCGAGCTGCCGCCTGACTTGTCTGTGGCCCTGAAAACCTCGGTTATGAATGGAACGTACACGATTCAACACAAAGGGGAGACAGGAACCGTTGCAGCCCGCAGAGGCATCAAGCAGGGAGCCAAAGACTCCCCTTTGATCTGGAACATCGTGATGTTGGGGGTGCTTCGGCGCCTCGAGGCCAAGCATGGGCGGGATTGGATTGCTAAGCATTTAACGATATTTGCTGATGACATTCACGGGGGATGGACGTTCACCAATGAAAACGAAGCTGGCAAAGCTATTGGTGATATCGGGGTCCTGCTTACAACGCTGGAGGAAATGAAATTCCGAATCAACTACAACAAGTCGGTCGCGATGATGGCTATCGCAGGTGCGAGGGCCACACAATTTCAATCCAAGTATGTTCATCGTTACAAGGAAGGACCTTTTCTTCGCTGTGTGGTCTCAACCGCAGATGTGAAGTTTCTACCTATGGTGAGCAAAACGGGCTATCTGGGGGCGAGCATCAGCTATCACCGATTTGAGCGTGACACCATAGATAGACGAGTCCAAGCTGCGCAGACGGCGTTTGCTAGGCTCAAGAAGGTACTGTGCGACAGAGTTCACCATCGATTGGCGGACCGACTTCGGTTATACAACACATGTGTATGGTCTACTCTTACTTATGGGGTCCTCGAGGTTGGGGTCGACTCTTATGGCTTAGGTCGTATCCATCGTCTCGTGGCCAAGCACTTTCGAATCATGGTTCGAACTCGTGACCATGAACACCATGAAACCACTAGAGACCTCTTCGGCAGACTTGACCAGCCTCTTCCATGGCAACATCTTGCGACCATGTTGGCGGCGAAGCGTAAGAAACAGGAGTCTAATCGACGTCACATTCCAGCGCGAGACATCACTCGGTGGCTGGATCTTCCTTCCAGTCCAGCACTTATTGACAGTGCCACCGCTGAGAAGATCACGGGAACACAAGAAGAGAAATGCACTGTGGAGCCGACGCTATCTTGCCCAGACTGCAAGTTTACATGCCGCAGCGCTGCAGCACTTAAAACACATCAGCGCAATGAGCATCCGGATCGAGCCTCGAAGTCTTCTACCATTGTCTTCGAACCACTTCGTGATTCCTTTCAGGGCACAGCAGAGTCCAGGCATTGCGGCTTGAAGTTGCGGCACAAAACCAACTTGGTTCAGCATATCGTCGGCGGTGCATGTGCTAAGTTCGATGAGGATGCAGGCTTTGCCATTCAACCACTGTGGACCCGGACCGACTTCGAGTCTTCACTGGCTCAGGGGGGGCTGTTAAGCTGCTCATGCAGGATCAATGCTGTGCTGCCATGCGCGGTGGTTGCGGTTTGTGTGGACAACAATGTACACTCAAGGGCTTGTCAAAGCACCTTGCATACAGTCATGGAGCTATTGCGCAATCCATCCGGGAGCGATCGAATGCTTTGCACAGGGAGGTTGTTGTTCCCAAAAGCAGCGGGGTCTGTAAATTTTGCATGGAGCGACTTTCAGGTAAATCGACTCATGTGTGCAATGTGGTGCTACATGCTGCTGCTCTCGAGTTTGTCTTCAAGTCCCAGCCGTCCAGTACAGCCGTTGAGGAGTCAAGGCCAAGTGATGCTGACGATGGGCGCCCAAGTACCTCAATCTCGAAGGCAGTGCAGTCCGGAGCATCCGCCCAAGCCATCAGTTTGCCACGTGTGCATTGCCCGCATTGTTCTAGAGCTTTCTCTGACAAGGCGAAGCTCCGAGATCACCTGCGTCACAAGCCGCCCAAGTACAGGCCCCGATGCACTCAGGTGGAGCCAGGACGTGTAAGATGCAAACGGTGTGGTGAAGAGATGCCTGCATGCTTGTTTCCAGCACATTACCTTGATAAGCATGCTGCCGATGCCAAACAAGCTACGTTGGATGGCTCGAATCTCGTGACCAGAAAAGGACAGACCTTGGACCCAGCTCGCCGGGATCAGACCTCAGCCTGCACATCGACGGCAAGTAAAGATGACTGCGGCCAGCTTCTTCCAGGATCAGAGCTTCCCCGACCAGTGGATGGAGGGCGAAGATCAACCACACCTGGAGCTGATGGAGACCATGGCGCCTTTCATGACGGGTCACACGATGGGCCCGATGAACATGGCAGACGGTTTTCATTCCCTCTTCCAGACTCCCACGCCGAAACGACAGGGAATGATGAGAGGTCAGCATTCACAGAAGCGACAGCGCGGATCACAAGGTCATGCGCAGCAGGTGAGGGGCCCCGGTCCCGGTCTAGGACCCCAAGGCGTGTCGCTCCCGGCTCTGATACGGATGATGGCAATCCAGCTACAGCGCCAGGAAGAGGCATTGCGAGTACTGGCGCAAAGCACCGAAATGATGTTGTTCATGCAGGCAGGGCCAGGCTCTTATCTGCCCAACCTTCTGCAGTTGAGCCAGACGTGGCATCAGCAACAGGCGGCGAAGCAGGTGGACAAGCCATTGCGTCAACACATGTCGGTGGCTCTTTGGACGGAGCTCGGAGCACGGGTCACGAAGGCCCAAGAGCAAATAGCCCAGGAGCTGGGGCAGGGTCTGATGGCAAAAAAGATCCTCAATGCGGAAGGGTCTTGGGCATACATGGCGTGGGACCAGGCGACGAAAAGTCTGGTTCCCACGACGCGAGAGCCCATCAAGATGACGGACATGCACCAGCTGCTGAAGGTGATCATCGAGCACCTCAACATGCCTGGAATGGTCACGCGCTTCAAAGCACACAAGGCGCTAAAAACAGTGAACATGCAAGCGGCGGCCTGTGTAGTCCCGTGGCAGCTGGATATCTCCTTGCGCCACCCTCAAAGCTCGCGCTTGTGGACGAGTCTCGTGACACTTCAGGGGAATGGAGTGCTACAACTTCTCAACACACAGATGCGAGCGGCCACCCTTCGGCGGTCCAAATTGTGCGATCAGATTGCCCAGCAGGTGTTCAAGAAGAATGGCGGGGCTTTCTAAAGCAGCTGACACTTCACAATGCTGATCAATGCTGCTATGCCAACTCAGTGATCTCAGCTCACTTGTGGGCTTTGATGACGGGGCCCTCACCGCGTAGTGAGTCGATTTGGGTACAGCACCTACGTAGGACTTTGGTGGCGCATGAGTGGCAAGGTTACCTCAAACATCTCCCCCCGGTCGATTCCCTTATGAAAGACTGGTTCACCGAGCATAGCGATCAACGACAGCATGATGCCGCCGAGTTCTACCATTGGTGTATGCAGACTAGTCAGTTTCAACAGCATTCGGGGTATTGGTGGCGATTTGAAAAACATGCTTCGCTGCTAAATGTGTGCATCCCGCTCTTGCTGCAGCACGGCGCTTTGAGTCTGCAGTCGTCTATTTCGCAATGGCACAGGAGTTCTGACGTGGTACATGTTATGTGCTCCCAGGCCCAGTTCGTGTGCATGCAAATCGGAGACCGACTTCGAGCAGAACAGCCGCAATGGCCTGAGATACTTGATCCGGATTTTCGCTTGACTCTGCCTCACCTTGTGGATGACGCTGGAGTTCCATCAGATGATAACGTGGAGTGGCGAGCATACCAGGTCAGTGCATGTGTACTTCGCAAGGGGTTTCAGAGGGAACATGGGCATTGTCAGGCGATGCTCTTCAGCTCATCGGGCGTCTACTTGTGCGATGATGGCCGGAGTGCCAAGCTGCTCAACGATGGCGACGCCATTCAGGAGTTACAACACATGTACATGCTTTGGGTCGTGCGTGATCCTGATGCTCAGGTCCCCCAGTCATGGACATGTGAGGCAGATGATGCGATTGCTGCGGTGGCGGTGCCGAGCAACTCATCCCAGGCCTCGCTCCTGGGTGCGTCGTTTTCGATTGCCGATCTCTTGCAAGCTCACTTTGGATGAGGAGGGTGTCTTCACTTGAGTTGGTGACTTTGAGCGTGGCTGAGTTCCTTCTTTCTTAAGCTAATTTTAAGACGAGTGCGAGCTGCATGATGCATGTTTTGTTACACGGGTCCATTCGGGCCAACTTGACGACTGCTGGAGCGTGATGCCCTGAGCGCATTGCGTGAAATGTGCTCCCATGAATACAGCTTAGTTGCGGTAACAGATTTTCCAGTGCCCAGTTCTAGATCAAGAAAGGTGGGCCCCAAGATGCCAGCACTGGAATCTTAAGCTGTTGTTTCCGAGTAACATCATTGGGCCAGGGAACTAGAACAAAATCAAGACTCCCACAAGAAGGAGCCCTGGACCATGTAAGACGCTACTGTGCATAGTTTCAAGGAGTGGCCGCCGAGCTGGGGCACTTGCGGGGGTGCGGTGCAGGTTGGAGCTTGGAGCCGATTATAAACCGACCATCCTTTGGTCAAATGAATTCTCTTTTGGTGATGCCTGGGAGAACCCGTTGAGGCATTACATCGTTAAGTCGATATGTTTTTGAATTCGTTTTGAACTTCGCTCATTAATTTGTTTTGGCTCGTACTCGGATGCTCTTTGGTGTGAGACCATACGCAGTCACACACATCTGTATAGCATTATGGGAGGGTGTTTTGGCCACTTTTGTACAGTTTTAGTGGGCCAAAACGACACCAAAATTATGGGGGTTGAGAACGTGAATGGCTTTCGAGGATGAAACTCCTCGTTCATGGCCTTTCCTTTTGCATGTTTTTGTACTTTAATCCAAACTTCTATTTGGTCGCACTCTTCAATTTCATTTCCCGCATCTTTTCTGTAGTTCTTATGGCTGGGCTGCAAAGGCTTTCTAAGGCACCACGGTGCACGGCCTGCGCCTATGCTGTCTGTTTGTGATTGTCCTAGGGGTAAGCTCGTCTTTAAGACGACCTGTATTGTGTACAGTCAACGATACAGTAGGCCCACGACAGCGTCGGAGACGACAGCTTCGTTGCAAAGCAAAAGCCCATGTCCCGCCCATGTCCGGCCACTGTCCCGCCCCTGTCCCGCCAATGTCCCGCCATGTCCCGCCCATGTCCCGCCATGTCCCGCCCATGTCCCGCCATGTCCCGCCCACGTCCCGCCATGTCCCGCCCTTGTCCCGCCCGAGTTCCGCCCAGCCCCGGTCCCGCCCACGTCTCATGATGTCCTTTGCGTCCTCTAAACTCTTTGCACAGCAGCCGATATCTCTCGAGGCTTTGTTTGTGTTAGCAGCAAAGAAAAAAAGCGCCAGGGGTATGCCTGGCAAACGCAAACGAGGTGACTCTCCAGTGCATGAGACCGATGCGACCCAGGAGCCGGGCAGCAGTGTGATCACCCGTGTGATCACCCGCACACAGGAGCGATCCGAGCGATCCCGATCCCCGCGAGGGGAAAGGGTTGCGACTATCATTTGGAAGTGGTGCTGGAAACGAATGGAGACAGATGATGGGACCATTTGGTGGTGGCAATGGTGGAAGGAAGGGTCAACGAATGGAGACAGATGATGGGACCATTTGGTGGTGGCAATGGTGGAAGGAAGGGTCCAGAATCTGAGTGCGGTTTTTTTTCGGGTCAGCTCGACAATAAGAGTTTGCGGTGGAATGCTGTCGCCGACAATAAGAGTTTGCGGTGGAATGCTGTCGCCGAATTGCATGACTCAGAGATTGCATGATTGCCTGTCTCAAGGCCTTGCATGGAAATGGAAACAAGTGCATTGCAAGGGTAGACTGTGCCACCCAATTGCCTGACTGAGAGACTGCATTGCATGATTGCTTGTC